TAGACCTAGTCTTGCTGATTTTATAAGAAATCATATTTTGGTAGGTATAGGCCATTCAATGTAATGACAGGCAAAACGCGCAATGACAGAAAATTGTCGGATACTATTATCATCGAAGCATAAACTATCTATTATAGCTCAACCTTGTCCCCCCAAAAATGCTACCGATGCTATCGTGCTACATTTTAGCCAAAAATATTTAACAAAATCGGTTGCCTATTTTCGATTATTTCGTACTCGATACGGACGAAATCCATCGCGATTTATCGATGAGGTGGGCATCGGATGACAGTTCCTAAGTCAGCGGCATTAACTATCTATATATAGCTATACTGCACCTTACCTGTAGTACATGCCGCCGTGGAACTGAAAGGCGACCATGTTCTGTTCTTCGTAGTTTCGCGCGCAATTCACGAAGCGCATCCAGTTCGCCCGCGCGACGTCGTATGCGTCGACGTAGTGCGACACTTTCCCGCGACGGCGTATCTGCAATTCGGACACGAGCATTATATTTCACGCGGCCTAATCGTACCAACATATCGGACATCTTACGTCGGGGTGCGCAGCCAGGGGCGTAAATCCGTACCGAGGAGTGGGGGGGATGATCGGCGATAGCCGGAGGTGAAATTAACCAGGCATGCCAAACGTAGGCATGCCAGTGCTAGGGGGGTCTGGGGATTAAAATTTTGAAATATTTAAGCCATTTTCCTGCAATCTGAGGCATACTGTGGGCCATATTCTCATGTCTGATGACACTATCTCAACCCTAGACTCAACCCTACAAGTTAGTATTCAAAACACTTTTCATGACTTTTCAGAGAGCGTACACAGTTAGGTTACTATAGTAATAATACATGTATTAAAACACAGGTAAGAATTGCAATTTCTCACAATTTCACGTGTTTTTGTACGTTTGCAACCATACTTTTTGGCTATTCTTTTTTTTCTCTTTTTTTTTGAATCTCAGGGGATATTTGTACAGGCCATCCCCCCTCCTTCAAGAGCAGGGGGGATGCATCTCCCCCATCCTCCCCCGGGATTTACGCCCCTGTGCGCAGCAAAGAAACGGATTGTTGTACGCTAATGAAAAGCTACCAAACACAAGCTAGCACTACAGCTAGACTATAAACACTGTCAGATTTGGTTGCACTAGATTGTGCGACATGGTTAGTGTAATGGGAAACATTGGAGAGGTAGCATGACCGCCTGCCAAACTATGAAATGTTTGAGGATATGTCAAACCTTCCCGATTGTTCCTAATTAAAACAGCGGCGAGTAGTCGAAAAGCAACGGATTTAAGAATTGATCCTCGACTCCGCATAAATATCACGTGACACAATTTGTGAATTTATTTTCTAATGATTGCTCACAGTCAACTAGACACTGCCCGTTGCCACTGCCGTGTATGTTTATATTTATTTCTATAAAAAATAACTTTTTATTAAGTGTTAAAACAATATATTAACTCATATAAGATCCGATAGGTGGCGCGGTTTTTCATTTAGAGCCGCGCGCTCGGTGCAAAAATTTCCCACTATTTTAATGTTTTTGAACGTGGAATGTGAACAAAATGAAACTGGGGAAAAAATAGCCCAATGTAACGTGTCGTGATCTGTAGAATGTTCCCTGACCAAGTTTGGAGAGGATCCGTTGAGCGGTGCGGAAACGTATAGCCGGACACGCACAGAAAATCCCCAATTTATAGTAAGATGTAGCACTGCGAAATGCGACACAGCGGAGCTCTCGCGTGGTGGGCGGGAACAGGGCCATAACGGGCGGGGGTTGTAGATGTCCCCAAAGACTAATGTAGTGTTATGTTATCAATAGCTAACGTCTAAGTGCCCGCGATCAGCAGCCACGAACACAAACAGCACGTGGTGGCGTGCTTGCGTGGCAAAATGTGTTAGCTGCGACCTAAAGCCGTGTTTACACGACAAAATGTTTCCCGGTAGATTTTTTTACGTTGTATGATTGAGGTCGGGCTAGTTGGCTGTGCGAGGGAACGTGAAGAATAACAACACCAGAGAATATAACAAATTCAATGTAATAAACGTAATAAGTGAACCCGAATATAGATAGAAAGCTGCATCACGTATAGAAATACGTATATAGCTCTGTCTGCGCACAGCCTATAGGGGCCACTACCCACAACCTAATCTGTTTATACCTGCAGAACTCTGCCGAGTCCGTGCGCAGACTACTGAAGTTATAGGTCCAGTCTACCGCCAACCGACCTTAATTGCTTTTCCTGCATATAGTACAACTTCCAGAAAAGAACGCGTCGGACACATTTTTACGCGTGCCATCTTTTTTTTGCGCTCGCCGACCGATGTTACACGCGGTGTTGGGTAGTATCAGGAGTAGATAATAGGGATTATCTACTCCTGGTAGATTCATAGGGATTATGTACTCCATATAATCCCTATTATCTACTCCTGGTAGTATAGATCTAAAATGCAAATGATTACACCATTTTGCGCCTAATTTTCACGGTGTTTTTTGGAGAATACGTCACTGGCCGATATCCGCTAGCTGGTCGCACTGTCGCACGAGCACCGCTTTTTCTTCAAAGGGTGTTATCAGGTATTATATTTATATTATATTTATTTGTTTCTACACCATATAGAATAGATACCACCGTATGGCCAGCGTGTATATTATGTATTATTGATAGATGGTGTGACCTCATTGAAAACATGGAAAATGACTGCAGTACACGCATACTAATATGATAAATACGTAATACATGTGCGCTCCATAAAAGAAAATGCTCTTCATAATAGATGGCTTATACTTGTCGCTACTTGTGGATTAACTGGCGCATTATATTCGTGTCAAGATGGGTTTACACTATCAATTTTTTCCTAAAAAGGTGACGAGCTGATAAACTTTTCTACTAATCGACCGACAGTCGGCAGTGTAAACGTAAAATATGAGCGCTCAACAAGGTGATAACGACTAGGCGAGAGATTAGAACATGTTCTATTTTCTCAACTTTTGTTCAGCGAGTTGATCAAGTTTTTCCCACTCAGTCACTACGATAATAGCAAGAGCGTATTAAGAAGGATTGATAATAGCAATCAGGAGGTGTGTCCCTTCACCCGGGGGAAGAGCACGTTTTTGCTATCGGCCCCACACTGGCGCGAATTACTGTATACGCCATATTTTTCGCGTACAGATATTTTCGCGAATTCAGACTTGACGGAAAATTTCGCGAGTGGTAAATTTCGCCGCTGAATTATGAATTATTCGGTATGAATTATTTGCGTGTTGTTATTTTCGCGGTCGGGATCGCCTTCACGGAAATTAAACCACCGCAAAATATACAGCTTACACATAATATTCGCAAAAATGCGTGTCGACGTCGCCCCGCGCGCACGCGGCGAGTCAAATGTTGAAACGTTTGCCGACTCGCGGTCGATAACGTAAAAACTGAACATCTGATAGACTCATCATCTCGTCGATTTTACCAGTGTAAACCCAGATTTATACTATCATATCTACCCTCAGTCGAGATATGTATGAAGATGTGTTAACAATGATATAAACAATTCTCGTTTTATTATAATACATGGCGGAATCACAGCAAAATCGACGGAATATCCCAATCAAAACAGATTTCATGCGATTCTAAACAGATGAAAATTTAAAACGTCTAGCTGTTTTATTATGCACAAATGTCAATAACAACTTATTATTCGGTAACATAGATTTTTCATACATGAAAAACCAAGTCGCTGAATTACAATAGAAGTTCATTGGAATCCGCATCTACGCAATAAATACTAATCAACCGGGTTCAATGCGTTTAGACTACAATAAAGCCTGCTATGCATATAACCCACGTTAACCGACAGACGTATTTATAACAGAGCATGCTAGTGTTATGTAATACAAAAACATAATCAGAATAATCAGTTTCTGATTAATTTTAATCGTGCAGACATTGCGCACCATTCGTTGTAAATACAATTACTAAACAATTATAGCAGATTAAATGTTAAACAACATGCGGACCTGGCCATATCATAGTAGAGCTTAGCTCTAGTACTAGAGTTAAGTAGAGCTGTGCTCCGTTGAAAGCATATTGAATCAAAAACATAAGAAAATGATCGCATGCACTCAAATTAGATACGGGAACGGAGACTTACATTAATAATAAATATATTTTTGCACTTTTTACAGTCACTCAGGCAAAATTTATTGTTCATACTCATTCTATTACTTACTTACATGCGTCAACCGCCGCCTTGTTTATTCAGCTCAGTTTTTGTGAGGCCGCAGGTTTATAATAAAAACACTGTCCAAATCCATTAAATATCACCAGCACATTTCCAGCTTATGCTTACTAGGCTAGGTCTTCTCTCCTGTATGATGTGTGCATGTGTTTTTTTTAGATCCACTGGAAAGAGCACATCGCTGATGCCGCACATGTCACATCGCAAACGGCCTTTCTTCTCCTGTGTGAGTGCGCATGTGATGCACTGAGAGAACGGGCCTGAGCCACTCCTGTATCCGCAACGGTGTCGCACGCAAAAAACGGCTTCTCTCCTGTGTGAGTGCGGCATGTGTGATGCCGGGAGAGACGGGCGTGCAGCACTCCGGTGTGAATCCGCACGTGGTCGGCACGCAAGACGGCTTCTCTTCTGTGTGCAGTGCGCGCATTGACTCACGGAGAGAGACGTGGCCAGGTGGGGCCTGAGCACTCCTGGTATCCGCACGTGTCACAACCGCAAACGGCTTCCTGCCTGTGTGAGTGCGCATTGTGTGTTGGAGAAACGGGCCGTGAGCACTCAGCTGTATCGCACGTCGTCGCACGCGAGAACGCGCTTTCTCGTCTCATTGTGTGAGTGCGCATGTGATCACGGAGAGAAACGGGCCTGAGCACTCCTGTATCCGCAGCGTCACACCAAACGGCTTCTCTCCTGTGCGAGTGCGCATGTGTCCTTGGAGATTACGGGCATTCGTTACTCATGTATTCACACTGTCGCCCGCAAACGGCTTCTCTCTTGTGAGTGCGCATCGTGATCACGGAGAGTACCGGCCGTGAGCACTCCTGTATCCACACGTGTCGCACGCAACGCTTCTCCCTGTGTGAAGTGCGCATGTGTGACTGAGAGAATGGCGTGAGCACTCCCTTGTAATCCACACGTGGTCGCACCAACGGCTTTCTCTCCTGTCGTGAGTGCGCATCGTGAATCCGGAGATGACGCTTGCCCTGAGTACAACCTTGTAACCGCACGTGTCACACCAAACGGCTTCTCTCCTGTGTGAGTGCGCCATGTGGATCACGGAGATGACCCGGCGCTGAGTCCCTGTACCGCACGTGTCACACGCAAACGCTTCTCTCCTGTGTGAGCTGCTTTTCATGGTGTCTCTTGGAGATTACAGGCATCGAGTCACTCCTGTATCCCACGTGTCGCAGCCACGCTTCTCTCTGTGTGAGTGCGCATGTGATCACGGAGATACCGCGATGGCATCTCCTGTAATCCGCAACGTTGTCGCACGCAAACGGCGTTTCTCTCCTGTGTGAGGTGCGCATGTGTCTCTGGAGATTACAGCATGACACTCCTGTATCCACACGTGTCGCAACGCAAACGGCTTTCTCCTGTCGTGAGTGGCGCATGTGCTCACGGAGAGAACATTGCCTGAAGTACCACCTATCCATCTGTTTCCAAGCGTTTCTTTCATTGTGATCCACACGTTTCGCACCTGCGTGTGTCGCATGTGTTTTTGAGTTCAGCCGTAGCGGTGGATCTGTATTTCACATGTATCACACTTTGCAAATCTTCCTTTCTGTGTGTAAGTGTGCTTGTACTCCTGCTGCTCTGAGGGCTTGCTTCTGTCAATGCCAAGCTCCGCTGCACTAACTGTCCCCGTAAGTAATAACAACAGTTCTGCGCCCGTCCGCATGTCTGTACACGTCCTGAACGCGCATATAAGTTTATGATTTGTTGTTTTGTCCACATTTTTGTAATAATATAAGATATTTAAGTAATTTGTCTTTAGCTCTCATCAATAGCAATGCATATTTATAGGAATAAAAAAAACGTAGAAGAGATTATGTAAGATTCCATTGTAAAGATTTAGAAGAATTTA